GCTAATATTGTAGCTATAGCAGGGGTCCGCAACCCGCAGCTCCGGAGCCGCATGTGGCTCTTTTACACCTTTGCCGCGGCTCTGGGCGGATACTAGCGAGGGGAGGAGGCGCATTGTGCACCCCGACACTCCCCACTGTGGCGGGCGCTGTACTGGCTGTGACGTCGCATGGGGGCGGTGCGTGCGTTGTCACGCACCGTCCCGACGTCACCTTCCCGGTTTTGCGGCTCCCAGTTGTTTTTTCCTTCGGAAACTGGTCCAAGTGGCTCTTTGTCTTAAAGGTTGCAGACCCCTGAGCTATAGCTATTATAGCTAATAGTGGATAGCCTCATCCCCCATGAATTTAATCCTTTGGTGGCAATCGCTACCTCCTGCAGAGGCAAGTTCCATAATGATCTTCCTTGGATGTCCACAAGTTTTCTAGTGTGAAAAAAATCGATCTCCTTTTCACTCCATCACATATTTTATAAACTTCTATCATGTCATCTTCAAAGTCCCAAGACATAGTCCCCATTGCAAAGCCTGGATCCAGACCAGCCACCACTTTTGGCCATACAGTGGTACCTCGGGTTACAGACGCTTCAGGTTATCGACTCCGCTAACCCAGAAATATTACCTCGGGTTAAGAACTTTGCTTCAGGGTGAGAACAGAAATCGTGCTCTGGCGGCACAGTGGCAGTGGTAGGCCCCATTAGCCAAAGTGGTGCTTTAGGTTAAGTACGGACCTCCGGAACGAATTAAGTACTTAACCTGAGGTACCACTGCAATCTAACCATCGCTGGCAGCAACCAGAGTGGGGAAGCCATTCGTTTACATGTGATGTATTTTGCTTCACAAATTGTGGCGGAAAGCAACAAGTTGTAGCATTAGTGGAAGGCTTTATGTAAACTACTGGCCATGACATGAGTGAAAAGCCAGCCCCATAAAACAAGTAGCTGATACAACATGCATCAAGTATGCTAAAAGTCTGGATTATAAACCCAGGAAACAAACTGAAGGACAGAATATATTTCTTTTGTCCCATTGATCACCTTCCAGTGCTTTTACAGACAACCTGGGAACAGGCTTGTTTCCAAGCAAAGGGCTGGTGCTGTGAAGCGAAAGTGAAGGATATAAAGAACTACAAGTTAAATAGCATCAACACCCCTATTTAAATCAGTTTATAAATCACCTATGTTAGAAACGAATCTTGCCAGTAGCAACAGCTATAGTATTGCTATTCTACTGAGGAAAGTAGTAATCCCTCATCTGAGATTTCCTCAGGAAATCTACCTGCTCCGGTATTTAGAAAGGCTTATTCATTCCTAGTCTAGGCATCAGCAGATGATACTGTGAAATTATACTGCTGACAAAGAGATCAGTTTTGCTTTTACTTCCTTTGGGGTGCCAGATTTTTCTTCTTTATCTGCAAGCTGGAATAATTATTTTTAACCAATTTGTAATGTCAAGAGTCAAGTTTTTCTGTCAGTCTAAGCCCAAGTCATATAGCTGGAAAGGATGCACAAGTCCTGGGCTGAAGAAGAAACAAGAGATAAATTGGTGATCTAATGAATGTCACAGCACCAATACGCCAAAACCAGATTATAAAGGCCTATCACCACCGAGTAAAAGTCTAACACATCAATTCAGGTAAATACCATATTTTCTCAAATCTAATGCTCATTTTTGGCCAAATCACATAGCAGAAAACAAGGTGTGCATTAGACCCGATGGCACATTAGACTCAAGTAAATATGGTAGTTTCCCTAGGGAAGAATGAAATATTGGTGCATCTAATGCAAGACTATAGGCACTTGCCCAAAGAAATCTGCAGCTCAGTCAAGTGAATATATAAGCATTTTATTGAACATTCAAACTTCATTAAGACATGTGCAAATGGCAATTTAAATGGGTTTAACCCTAACTAAGACAATAGTAATGATTGCTTGCTGGGGTTTAGCAACAGGGTCCAGGATCACACTTAACACTAATTAAATACTTTATTCAATAAATACATAGCAAACAAAAATGCATTTTTAATGCTCTTATAAAAGATTAGTCATTTTGAAAGGCCAATTTAGTCTATTATAGAACTATCATATACAATAAAAGTAGGTATGCCAGTTTAACATAATTGGCTGATTTTATGCAGCACTTATACCTTTTAGTCCATAAGTAAATAATTAAATGAAAAAGAACATCTAGCACAACCACTTCTACAGAACTAGGAAATAAATTTCTAATAAAGAAAAAATGTACAGACCCCATGACTTTCCACCCAACCCCAACAGTCTAAAACCCTAAAGAGGAGAAAGCCAAAGGCTCTCCCCACAAAAGCTCACGACAAAATGTCGTTTCGCTTATCAAAAATCTGTATTTCTGATCCGTAATGAGCATTGAGACAAGATTCAATGTATCTCCCAAGAAAGAAGCACAATGCCCGTTGTGGATCGCCTAGTCAGCAACAGCGAGCACTGCATTCCAAAAACATCTCAATCCCAGGGATTAAATGAGGTCAGCCACATTCATTGGCATTTCCTCCACTGTAGTATTGTAGAAAGTCTCAATATCCCGAAGGATCCGCTTGTCCTCCTCAGTGACAAAGTTTATAGCCACACCTTTCCTGCCAAAACGACCACCGCGGCCAATCCTGCACAGAACAGGGAAAAGAGTATGAAGAAGCTACTTTTAAACTCATTTTAAATAGCCCGTTTCCAGGGGCAAAAATTGTTTTACGTGGTACTCACTGGCAGATTAATGTTGTCATTGTTGCGCTGTACTATAGCACCGTTATTCTTTTGTGCCGAAAGCATATGCAAGGTTTTACTCTCTTGAGTACTGGCAGATACCAACTAAAGAAAGCTTTTGGCAGCACAGACAAGCCACATTACACCCAGCAAAACTTTACCTCCCCCACCCCACTTCTGCATAACTCAGGCAAGTTAGAAGCTCACTATCGGCTTTTAAACATGGACAGAGCTTGATGTCAGCCTACAAATTGCAAACCTTTTTTTTAACCAAAATTATCCAAATCCCTTGAAGCCAAACATTACATTTACTTCCTCAAAGACACAAATTTATTCAGTGGGAAAACTTACCACCACTTTTTGCAGAACCACCAGTTTTTGCAGTATCATTTACAGGGCACACTGCAGATATATAGGTTAACAAAAACAAAACCCACAACTTCTGCTTTCACCTGACCAAGGTATTAAGAGCTTTTAAGACAAAACATAGCTCACAACAATCATTACAAAAGAAAAGTATATAAATACCAACTCGCTCTTTATTGAAACAGTGTGCCGCTTACGAATCCACGTCCTAAATTACGCCAACGTCGCTTCTGAGCACCATCCCGTCATCAACTGGGCTAGCGACTCCTGTATTTTTTTACATCAAGTAACAAGGTACAATTTACTTTGTTTAGGGGACAAAGCCACTATGATAGATAGCTAAGCTTAGGGAGATAAACTGAAAGCTATTAGAAGATACACCAGAGAAAGAATCCCACTGTAAGAAGAACCAAAGAGCAGCAGTGAAGATATTGGCACAAAGAAACTTCCAATAAAGCAACAGAACAAGCTGAAAGAGGCAAAGTACTTACTTCTAGGAAGGAAAACTAATAGCAACTTTGGAAACAACATAAACCTCTGCTTTCCTAATCACAATACAACAGTAGTAGTTCTTTAAAGAACTTTTGCAGACTCAACAACACATGCCACAGAATATTAATTCAGCAGCTCTATCCTGAAAACCAATAATTAATTGCTGAGGTTCCAATACAAACAAGTTTTCCCACTGTTTTGTTTCATTGGCTAACAAAGAAGCTCTGCCCCTCCCATCCTCACAACACTATGTGCACGTACACACACACTGTAGTATATGATGCAAGAAAGCAAGACAAGTATTCAGGGTGTGCAGATTCTGAAGAAGCTTCGGAATGGAAACTGAGTTGAAATTCAACTGACCTGTGAATGTAGTTCTCACGATTGGTGGGCAGATCGTAATTTATAACCAACGATACTTGCTGCACGTCAATGCCACGAGCCTACAAACCCAAGCAATAAATTACTATAAACACAAAGAAACTTCCCCCAGGGTCACAGTATACTTATAGCTTTGTTGACCATGTTATAGTGATGAACTACAATAATGCAAGTCCATAGTGGAGCATGGTCTTTACTCTTCCAACAGCTTGAGTAGCTCAGGTTACAAGAACCTGCACCAAACAAAACAGCTTTGGGTAGGTTCGCACAAAAGGCAGGGACCATGGCTACTTACCAATAAATCAGTAGTGATCAAGACACGGCTTGAACCTGACCTAAATTCTCTCATGATAACATCTCGCTCCTTCTGGTCCATGTCACCATGCTGTATGGATAAAGAAAGCTTGTTAAGCAACTTTTTAAGTATCCAAAGACGTCTCCATTTTAACTTATGGCCTTTTAAATATAAAATATTCAAAACTTCGCTAAACTATTCCTCTGGTAACTGAGGCACATTTCTTATCTGCAATAAGCAGGTATACTGGAAAATACAGAGGGGATGAAGAATGCAGCAGGTTTAAACCTCTGAGAATGGAGTTAAGCAAAAGAGGAACCTTGCTTCCAAGGGGTCTAGAAGTCTCTTCCAGTGCTCAAATTTCACCACTCAAGTATGCAATACCATGCCATTAGGACTAGGAGTGCCACTTCCTTAGTATATACACTGGGCCTTAGTATTTGCTTCTCAATTACCATAGCATGCAATGCATCTTCAGTATCAACACTTACCAGAGCAGAAACAGTGAAGTCTCGTGCATGCATTTTCTCTGTAAGCCAATCTACTTTCCTCCTTGTGTTAAGGAAAATGACAGCCTGCGTAATGGTCAGGGTTTCATATAAATCACAGAGAGTATCAAGCTTCCATTCCTGTAAAGTTAAGGAAATTGTCATGTCTCTCACAAGGAAGAGAGTTGCATGAGGTACACATAAAACTCCGAAGTAGAATCCTAAAGGTGACTCGTATTTCTAGACATTAAGTAGTGTTGCACCAAAACTCCAGACTAGGACACTGGACATTAAGAAAGAGGTCCACCCAAGTCTTTTACTGATCCAGTGCATTTGTTCTTCTTCTTGTGTGTACCGTGCTAGCATTACTACAGAAGCCAAGGCTTGTAACCCCAACTTCTGTGGTTTTAGCACAGTGCTTGTACAAGAAGTGCCTTCAAGATTATTAAACTTCCCCCTTACCTCTCTCTCCACATTAATGTAGAATTGTTTAATACCCTCAAGGGTCAATTCCTCTTTCTTCACAAGAATACGAATAGGATCTCTCATAAACTTTTTGGTCACTTCCAGCACATCCATTGGCATAGTGGCAGACAGCAAAACAACCTGAACAGGAAAGGAGTGTTTCTTTTAAGTGGTTTGGTCTAAAATTGCTCAAGAAGCTGGTCAATGAGGAGATAATGTATGAAACCAAGCGTCCCTGTCTGCCGTGGAATCAAAACAGACAAGGATAGAAAAGAGACAATTTTGCTTTGTGCAGGGGGAACGACAATACAGCACTACGCAGCTACATTGTAACTTTACCTGCACTAATAATAATAATTTTTTATTATTAAATTTAATGGCCATTGTTACTGCAATATTGCTTTTACCTGAATGTTTGTGCTCAATTTCTGAAAAATTTCATAGATTTGATCCTTAAATCCCCGGCTCAACATTTCATCTGCTTCATCCAACACAAACATTTTGATCCATTTAGGCGCTAGAACGAAAAGGAAACATTTTGGAAGCATTATAAGGGTTCTTTTAAACTACGCTTTTGATTTCTTCTTCAGCAGGAAAAATCAATGCTAAACCACCAATCTTGCACATTCCTACGTCTGGAACTTCTGCCTATTCAGTTGAATAGTACGCCTATTAAGATATTTTAGTCACTGCTTGTTCAAACACATTCCCAATAAGAGTTTAATTAGTACTTCACTACTTACACAGATAACGCCTGTTTAACATGTCAAACACACGTCCTGGAGTTCCCACCACAATATGGGGAGCTTCTGCTTGCAGCTTCTGCATCTCATTGCGAACATTTGTGCCACCAATGCAAGCATGACAAGTTGCACCCATATAATCGCCAAGAGCCAGAATAACTTTTTGGATCTGAAATAATATGTCTCAATTAGCATGTTATTAAGCATTGCTCCACTTATTCACCAGCCACAGCTTCCCAATGAATCTATACTGTATGCAGTGACTGACACATGCAACTTGTACTTGATTATTTTACATGCAGCTTGCAATGCCTTTCCTATCCACAAACGTTATCTCCAAAAGAAATGTAATAAATCTGAAGCTGTCCTCAGTCAGGTAGTTTACTACAGAGAAGTATTTGTTCTTCAACACTGAGGGGAGCCTTGGTTTTGCAAAGCGATATAAAGTACTCCCAATGTAGAACTGCAGATTAGATTTGGTTGCACATCAGAACAGAAAATAGCTACCAGTCACCACACATGCAGAAGCATTGTAGTGCCTTTTAAAACTAGGATCTACCTGGGCCACATTGTTTCAGTGTACAACTTTATGGTAACATTTAAATAAATGACCCTCAGAGATTAGAGGTGAAAACTTGGCAGGTTCTTTACAAATGCCTATCTATCATTTATCAAACAGCTTGGTATATCCACTTAAAAACTGCAAATTACCAGTTATAGGTAGCTTTCTTGAAAATGCTATAATTAAAGCAGTTTAACTTAGGCAAAATCATCTAAACTGAAAAGTAACTGATACCGTGTCAACCCATCGTAGACTCCATTTCCTCCCCTGAAGCAAGTTATGGATTGCTGTCAATGCTTAATTTCATTTCTAATATCCTGCTGTCTTCCACAAGAAATGATGTAAAATTCAACTCAAAAGTTCACTAGGATCTTCTTGTTGAACTGTATTAACAGCAAATGCATAGGTCCCACCCCCCTCCCCCTAAGTCACTTGGACAATTGTTTCAAATATTTTTTAAGTTGTTATGCACTCAGTCAAACTATAAAATTCTCCAGAAGTTCTATGTTGGTCTTAAACATTTATTGCAATATTGAATGTTCTATTCAGAAGAACTAGAATTTAATGGAAGTGTGTAGTGCCACAAAAAGCTGTTCAAAACAGAAGATTTAAGAGACTGAAGCACACACAGTACAAATTACATACATACAGAGAAAAATCAACTGATCACATGCGCACTGCAGTTTCCATGTTGCACAACTGCATGCATTTTTCAAGAGTGCCCTTACTTTTTTTTACGAAGGCTTAAAATTCAGATTAAAATGTTTTAATATAATGGAGACTTGTGGATATGCCCCTTCATCACTCCTACACAGCTGTTACCCAACTTCATCACAGCTTCAGAGGCCCATTGTCCCAGCTGACTTCTCTCCATGTATTTAAAGGAGAAAAGTTAGTGGGACAGAGGCCTGTTTCCATTTTTATAACCCAGAGATAAGAAGTCACCCTGCAAGGAATGTTAACTGTCCTACAGTTGTGAAACCTGAAACCTATGCAACATGTAAGCAGCTTTTAACTACACTATCAATACCTGTTGAGCCAGTTCTCTGGTTGGGGCCAATACTAGTGCTTGGGTCTCCTTGAGATCAATCTCCAACTGTTGCAGGATGGAAATAGCAAATGTGGCTGTCTTGCCAGTACCTGACTGAGCTTGAGCAATCACATCATACCCTAAAAAAAGGATAGATATTTACTGCTCCCACACAACACATCAAGGATTCAGCTTAACTGTTATTTCCTTTTCAAGTGATCAGCAGTTACAAATTATCTCCATTTCAGGTCAGTCCCGAAAGATGGTATACCATCATCTCACTTTACAAGGAAAGATGTGTTTTACTTCCACCCCAAGGCTGGGAACTCAAGCCAAAGAACAGTACTTAGGACCTACCAATAATAAGCACATTACTACTAGCTTACCTTTGATGCATGGAATAATAGCACGCTGCTGAATAGCTGAAGGTTTCTCAAAACCATATGCATAAATGCCCCTGAGGAGGGATTCTTTTAAGTTCATATCATCAAAATTGTCAACAATTTCATTCCAGTTGCTCTGCAAAAGAAAATAAAAATGTTTTACTTCACTCGTCATCCCTAACGACATTTTAAAGGCACTATCAATGAAATACTAACCTCAATGACGCCATCGGGGTCCATTCCCTCTGGGCCATGGTCTCTGTTTAAATAAAAAAGCCAAAGCTGTCAGCCAAACCAGTAAGTTTCTAACTTCTATGGATGCAGCCATTAAATACTGATACAAACACTGTGATAAATTACTCCAGAGCACATCTACCAACAATGTTACAGCTGCCATCTCCCAACTGCCAACATAAGTTGGAAATCAACTTTTATTTAGAGCAGATAAACAAATTGGTGACTAAATGAGGGCAGTA